TTAAGGTAACTTGCAGAGTGAAGGGAAAACCACTCTCAGATGACTGGAAATGTTTTCAGATTAATTTATCCACGGACAACTTCAATGTGCTGTTCAGAGAAAATAAGGATTCTTTAAGTTGTTTTCATTTTTTTAAAAACTGCTTTCAAATGGCAAAGATGCATACACCAGAAAATTGTAAATAGGATTTATGCTTGCTGTTTTATCTGCAGATTATTTGAGGTGTACCTGACTTTCAGTTTCACAAAGCATAAACAATTTGCATTTGTAAAGATTTTCATCCAATGGATACCTCCCTGGCTTTCCTTAAGAATAGGACTATAAATTAAAGAAAACTAAAACTTCAGATAATGAACCCAGGGCATTTTGCTTTTCATATGTTTCCTCTATTTGTTTTGGTTTTTAAAAAAATATAAATAATATTTATATATTAAATATAAATAATGCTTCCTTTTCCATTGTTCTGTCCTGTTCTGTTTTTCTTGTATTTACTGGAACGTAAATACTGAGGCTCACTAGATTTGCACATCAGAGTGTTCTGATCAAAGTGCTACTTGTTCTGTACAAAAAAAACCCCAAAACCAAACATTTTAAGCCTTTATCAGCAAAGCCTTGTAAAGCTGCATTACAGTCACTGGCAAAATTTGACACAATTTATTCTGCAGGAAACAGCAGGCATTTTTTTTCAAGAACATTAACATACAAAGCTTTCAGAGAAAATACTGAGCTACAATGATATAAAAGAAAACCTGGTTTTGCTTTGAAAACTTCATGAAGCATTTCTTATAACATGTAATTAAAAAAAATCTTAATCTAAACTTTGTCATCTTTCCAACATTGCCTTTGTAATTAGACTTGCTGAGGATTTTCCATCAGGGTTTTTTGCAGAAATATGCAGTTTCTGCAAAGTCAACGTTTTCCACTGGAAATTGTTGGGATTTGCCTACTATTGTTCAGGTTTTGCATCTGGAGAACCCAAATACGAATTTCAGGTTGGTTGACATCTGAGATACATTTGGGCTGTTACTGTATCCCAGACACTTGGAGGACCTTTTGGCTCTGTCCCCTTAGAGACCTGTCTTCCCGAATGCACCAATGCTTTCTATTTTGCTCTTGTCCCTGAGCGACTATTCTCCTCCTCTATGAAATATTCATGAGCACACATGGTAACACAAACTACAGTACCTGTTGAGGAAGCATAATTTACAATTATTTATAACCATTTACTCATCAGTGGACTTTGAGGTTTGCTGGTAGGACTGATTACAGGAGTTGTGCTCCTAAATTAAGAGATTTTTACCATACAAACCAGTTTATTAATATGGTGAGCTGGAGTACATCGTACTTCATATGTCAACTGAAAAGCTGCCTACCTAATCCTCATTTGCAAAATCAGATGTCATTAATTTCTGAATCTGCAAGAGCCTGCTTGATTTTTTGGATCGTGGACTGTGAAATATCAGCAGTGAGAGAGAAATTTTCTTTGTGTAAGTTGATAGTGTAAAATTCCAATTTATAAACTGTGAAATGATCAGTGATAGCTTTAATATGAAAAATATAGGACTAGTTATTAGACATTTCAGAGGCCTGATGAAAGTTCATTTCCAGCTAGATCATGTCTAAGAATTTAGCTGAACATCAATATTTACATTTAGGTAGTGCAGGAGTTTGAATCATACCTTCTTTCAAGTTCTAAATATGGACCATGTTTACATTAGTGAATCATAAGCAAAGAACATAGGCATAGAAGCTGAAATAAAATCTTTTTCTCCAGAGGTGCTTAAATATACATGACCCAAATCTTGGATCATCCATGCATAGTCCTGAAGAGCTGTGCATTTGAAAACAAAACCAAAACAAAACAAAAAAATCATCTGCACTTCTTGCAGTGCCTTGTGGTAGGTAAAACTTAGTATCATGGAAGTGAATAAGCTGATCACTTACGTACAAAAAGAGAACATTACTAGCTTTACATTGCCTTGTGCATTTACTGCACAATTATGCTGAATACATCTTGTTTATCATAGGATCCAAGTTTTATTTCTTGGCACTTGCAATTTGTTTGCTTTTAAAAAGTCCCAACCTCTTCTACGAAAGTCTAGTCTGAGACATAGTTTTTCGGACTAAGCATAAATTACATTAACTGCATGGTACAAAGAAGCTGCTGAAGAAATGTCCTTTTACTCTGTGAATATGGATATTCATGCATTCAAAACTTAGGGAAGTTTTCTTGAGGACAGACTCTAATCGCTCCTACTTGAACATATCAAGTGAAATCAAAATGGCTTTATAAGGTGGGTTTTTTTGCACATTAATTATTGCCCAGTGTCTATGCTGCTGACTATTTCAAGAGTGACTACAGTGGACAGAGTAGGGTGTTAAAAGAAGCAATGATGGAAGACAAGCAAGAAAGAAATTGTGGCATGTTCAGTGTACAGCATAAACAAGTTTGTGATGACAGAAGCTCTTCTGGAAGCTACACTGAGAAAAGACAATTTCTGGCATTCATAATCATCTAAAATATGCATCTTTGCACTGAAATAAAGTAGTACAACAGGGGAAAATGTCTTATTTGAAAAATGTAGTACTTTGTGATTTAGTATGTGTTTTGGGAGGAGGAGGGAAGAGGTTGCAGTTGTGAGTGAAGAAAAGCGTCATAAATAAGACATTGATTGGCATTGGTTTATAATACTTAGGCTGCCTGGGAGCCTGGTCTGACAGTCAGAGCAGTGAAGTATCTTGTTAACACTGGTGGCATAATTAAGTGTAGCAGTGGACAGAATCTGTTTTACAAGTTTCATTGTCCAGGGTAGTTTTTTTTGGACATGTTTTAAGTTGCTGCGTTTTACTCTGGAAGTGGTGCATTATATTATATTCATCTGTTTATCTGCCTGATTTTTTTTTAAACTGCAATATAGAACCTCATTAAATTGAACCAGTTCATGAATGTGCCTTAGCTTTATGTGGAAAAACATAATTGAAGAAGACGAGTATTAGAAGTCTTAACTGTAAGTCGCCTGAAGTAAAAGCAAACACTACTTTTGTTTTAGTATATATTTGATATTTCACATCCATCTTAGAGGACTGGATGTGATTGCATGGCTTTTATGTATGTAATGCTTCATAATACACATTTCTAGGAGGAACTATAATTGCTAGCCTGAGGTTTTTAGCTCAGATGTAAAATAGAACTAATCTTTGGTGAGAGGGAGCTGGTGATTTCTAATGGTAATAGTACAAGTGCATAACTCTGTCTAGGGAAGAATAGCAGAAATAATTAGTATGTTGAAATGATTTTATCAATATCTATCAATATGCGTAGAAATTAGTAGAACAATACAAATTTGCATGAAACAGGCATCATTGTCTCCTGTGTTTATTTTGTTGAAAACCCAAGTTCAAATTTAAACTTCAGAATTTCAAGATTACCATATGCTTTCTGCCTTCAGCTTTTGAAATGATAGATTGTGGCTTTGCCTGGATATTGTTTTCTGTCGTTGCAGTCTCCTCCAGGAAAAAAATCTTGGAATAGCATAATGGAAGTGTCATGCTTTACTAAAACATTTGCATTATCCTCAAGAACTTACATTTTGTGGTCATTTGTGTACTCACTCAAATATTTCCTGCCTTTTATTAAGTAGAAAGTAAACTGCCATCAGAGAAATGTAGCCGTTTTCTGGTCCTTATCAAGGAGTTTCTTCTTAATCATCATTGTAATTGTTACAATAGACTCGTTATTACAGTCATGGAAATGATATATTCTGTGTCGTCCACGTCAACAATGTTGATGTGTTCTGCTGATGTGTTCTCAACATTTTGAAACTGCTTTATTGTCAGAAAGGTTATCAGTTTGTAATTTACTTCTGCTATTCAGACTACAAATTTTGTTATAATGAGTCTTTGAGAAAAAATACCAGGCCAAAATATAAAATATTCAAGGATTTAAGAGAAACTACTTGGAAACAGAAGCATCTGAAGCAGTAGACAGAATTCTATGTATGGCTGTTGCTGTTATTCCTGCTACAATGCATAGTTTACGCTACAAAATAAAAGCATTACTTAAACATTTTTTTACCAGTTTAAAAGGTATTATAAATAATGAAGGCTTTTCAAAATAGAGAAGAACTTCGAGCTCTGTATCTAGAAGCAGCTGTGAATTTTAGATTATAGCTGAGATTCTAATTTTTTTTTTTTTTTAGAGCCCTAGGGGAATGATCTTTCTTAACTCCCTTTGACTTTGAAGATTTTTATTCGTTCACCAAGTTCATAAATGATTTTATTTTTAAGACTGAACCTTTTGTCAGGTTTTGTTAGACTTTTCTTTGAAAAACCTGTTGTTTGAGCTTTGCATGAACTGGAGACGCAACAGAGAAAGAAGGGAGGCAAGACATGCGACACATGGTTGATAAGGACCTGCCTAAACCAAATCATTTCAGCATTATGTTCCTCAATCTCAATCATGAATTTCACAATAAATTAAAAATTCTTAAAATAATTTGGAGCGTATATGAAAGGGATCCAGTATCCATGTTAGCTTCCAGAGCTCCTGTGAAGGGAATGGCTGGGCAACAGCTTGCTATCATGCATCTCATGAACAGAAGCACTGGAAGATGCTTATTTTGCTTATTTGTTTCATAAGACTGCTTACCATATTGCAGAAGCTTTTTATGTAGGACATAAAGAATGATGTTCTTACTTTAGGAGACAGGTTTTTTCCTGTTAGTAATAATTGTAATTTCAAGCTAATGTGCAAAAAGCACTAGCTGGTTTTGTGTGTTTGAATGCAGTGTTCTGTATCCACAATTTACTAGATGCATACACTGTGTATATGAAAACGTACTTTATGGAGTTGTTTCCTCAATTTGACATGTGTTAAAATCATATATCAGAATTATTGTCTATCCACATGCGTCATGCTAGTGGAGTCTATAAATAATATCCTCTGCTTTGTTTTTCATAAACTTTTCAGATGTCAAATAATATACTGTTAATGTTTCTAGGCATTGCTCTCTGTACATGATACTGTTGCTCAGAAGAACTATGATCCTGTCTTGCCCCCCATGCCTGATGATATTGATGAGGAAGAAGATTCAGTTAAAATAATCAGGCTGGTCAAAAACAGGGAACCATTGGTAAGCAGTCCTGTCTTTTGTTTTGAGGTTTTGTGTTTGTGCACTGGGTGAGGAGTGTTCAGATAATAAACGGGAATAGGTGACATTAACTTGAAATGTGGACAGACAGACATTACGTGTGTTTGTTCGTAACATTCAATAATACACTTGTGAATTCCATTTGCAGTCTTTATTAATAAAGCACATCAAATGAATAATAAGGATTTGTTCATTCATGTTTGAGCATTGTATATGTGGGCCAGACTGCGCATTTATATCACTAATGTATTCATTTTTTATCTTGAATTCAAATCATGAACTTGTTTTAAAATGAGAGAATGAATCCCCAAAGAAATCTTGACCTATGTTGTGAACTGTGCCTGTTACCATTCATGTAAAAAATGTGACCTTCCAGTACACTGAAAAGAAAGCATAAAAACATATTTTAAAACACTTGAATTGAAATCTGGGCAAATTTAAGATGTCTGTTGTTGTACTTTGGATTATGAATACTAGAAAGTTAATATCTTCATGGGGATATCTGGAAAAATGAAAGGACTAAGCCTAGGTTGTGTTACAAGAATATTAAAATACTTCACTGATTTGGTTATTTTTATTTGCTGTAGAGTGGAAGTCATCTTGCATAAAATTTAACTATATTCTTTTTCTCCTGCAAACCAGTAAGAGCTTTGGTTTATATTATACTTTGTATTTGTTTTAACAGATAGCAATCCTGAAAAAATACCTGCAAAGTTACTTTGAGAAAGCTGTGATTTTGTATTTGAGATGACTGTGGGAGGGCGATTCCTCTGTTAGACATACAGGATTGTTTGTCCCACAGTCGATAACTTACTGTCGTGGTTTAAACCCAGTCAGGTAATTCGTTCGCTCACTTCCCCCCCCCTTTCTTGCCCTCCCCCTGCTCCCGGAGGGACGGAGAGGAGAATTGAAAAGAATGCAACTCCCACGGGTTGAGATAAGAACAGTTTAGTAACTAAGGTATAACACAAATCACTACTGCTACCACCAATTATAATAATGATAAAGGAAATAACAAGGGAATACAACACCTCACCACCAGCCGACCGATAACTTGCCCCCCCCCCCCCCCCCCAGCCCGACCAAGCTCCGACCGATACCTCCTCCAACCCCTGCAGTCTCCCAGCCCTTCTGGCTAACTCCCAGTTACATCCTGGGCATGACGTGCTGTGGTATGGAATACCTCTTTGGTCAGTTTGGGTCAGGCGCCCCGTCTCTGCTTCCTCCTGGCTTCCCCTCCTCCCTGGCAGAGCATGAGCCTCACAGAGTCCTTGGTCAGGGTAAACATCACTTAGCAGCAACCGAAAACATCGGCTTCACCAACACTGTTCTCAAGCTAGAAGTCAAAACACAGCACTGCACCAGTTACCAAGAAGGAGAAAAAAATGACTGCTACTGCTGAACCCAGGACACTTACTATCACTTTTATTCTTGATGTATTTCTGGCATCAGTAAACAAGAAGTAAGTTTTGGTATTAGCTGATTGTAGGTGCCCATGGGCATAATTAAAAGTTTGACCATATGGAAAGTTTTTACTTTAACATATTAAACCTTTTTCTTTTCTTTTTTCCCCAAAAATATTTAAATCACAGCTTTAAGCTTTCCTCTTTTTCATCAAAGAAATTCTTTGAGGAAGAAAGCAAACTTGCTTTAAGATACTCGGAAAGAGTATTAATTCTGAAAGGTGTGAAAAAATTTGAACATGTAGCATGAAATGAGTTCTAACTGAGCAGCTTATTTTTAGTGTTAATGAAAAGACCCTTGATTTTTCTTGCATTTGTCAGGAAAATTTTCATAAAAATCTTAATTTACATAGTTTCATGTTTCAAACATTATTTACTACTAAGATTTTTGTGAGTTAAATACTGTAAATTACAAAATGTATAAATAGCAACTTTGGAAACAAAACTGAGGGAAATCTTACATGAGATACATAAAGTTTTTCAGATTTTAAGCCCTTTTAAAGAGGCAGTTAGGGTTGCCTAAGGCGAAGATTATCCTTGGATTGTTCCTCAAATTCCACTTGTAGCCATTTACTCCAGTGGTATACTGAACACTTCCAGATACCAGGGTGTCTGTTGTGGTTTAATCCCTGCATCTCTGCCCCACACAGCTGATTGCTTACTCATTTTCCGCTGTGGGATGGGGGGGGGGGGGGGGGGGGGGGATCAGAAAGATGAACGTGAGAAAACTTGTGGGTTGAGAAAAGGCAGTTTAATAGGTAAAACAAAAGCTGCATATGCAAGCAAAGGAATCCATTCACCACTTCCCATGAGCAGGCCATTTCCAGGAAAGCAGGGCTCTATCATGCATAATGTTTACTGGGGAAGACAAGCGCCATCACTCCAAGCATCCCCCGCACTTCCTTCTTCCCTCAGCTTTGCATGCTGACCATGGTAACATTATGGTATGGGCTATTTCTTGGGTCAGTTGGGGTCATCTGTCCTGCTGTGTCCCTCACAGCCTCCTGTGCACCCCCAGCCACTTGCTGGTGCAAAGGCATTGACCCTATGTAACTGCTGCTCAGTAATAGCTAAATCATCCCTGTGTTTATCAACATGGCATTCAGCACAAATCCAAAACATAGCCCTATATCAGCCACCATGAAGAAAATCAACTCTATCCCAGCCAAACCGAGCACCATCTCTTAGAAGGTACATCCACACTTAGCAAAGCTCTTGTGCTAAGGAGGTAACAGAGAGGGTTTTATTTAGACCTTTCTTTTACTAGACAGGATGGCAGCCATGGAAAACAAAAAATGTGAGAGAACTCAGTTCTGTGGTTTAAAGACTGCTTAGTTTATTTACCAAGGCAAAACCAACCTTATAATGGAACCTGTAATAGACCTATTCTAGGAAGAGGCAAAGGGCGGGAGCTAATTGCAGCCTGCAACTAATTGAGAGTGGGGAGCTCACAAGGATAGTAGAGTCAAACTCTTCTCAACAGTGGAAGATGCTAAAACACAAGGCAATGGCCACAAGTTGCAGCCCTGGGAAGTTTAGACTGGAAATTAACAGCAGTATTTCATTAGTGTGCAAGTGTCGTCCTCCTCTTCCATAACCCACCCATAATCCATTTTAACATTATTAATGTTAACATCAAATACGAATTTCTTTGCTGCAGCTTTATAGTGACTTATTATGACACCATCACCACTGTACATAACAAATCTATTATTAATTTTTTTTGCCTTCCCTAGAATTTTTTTGTCCCTTAGGTAAGGGTGAGAATAAACATGGAAAGTAATCTAGGTAAGGTATTACCAAAATATGGCATGGCAGAATAAATAAAGACAGGTTTATACTACGTATATTAGATCTACTCCATTTATGCTTCCTCAAGTTAGTTTACTAAAGAAAATATATGCCATATGTTTACTAAACTATTTAAAATTTTGTATCTTTTTGGTGTCTTTTCCTTCGGAGCTCGTTCTAAACTCTTGGCTATTCTTAGTACAGATCAAAGAGTCTCTGCTTGTTTGGTTTATCTATTCACTGTTCTCCTGTCAAAAAGTCTGACTTCCACCTGCATCATTATATCAGTATTCTTGCTGCTGAGCTTGAGATTGAGGCACCTTACAGTATTTCTACTGGGATAGAGATTGTTTGGATTCTTGACTTGAAGATACAGAGCTCTTAGAACTTTTCTTTCACCTCAAATAGATTATCATTCTCTATTTGTACACAAACAGTAGAGGTTGTTTTTCTGCAAAGTAGTAAGCTATTTGCATCAGTTGCATGCTCTGGGCTTTCTTGAATTGGGTATCTCTTTTGGATGACTTTCAACAATAGTCTCTGTGAAGCAAATGAAGCACTCTCTTAACTTCTTTGGAATATATCTAGCGACCATTTTTATATAAAACTACACCACATTTACTCTTGCACTTGTTCATGCTTTTCCGCAAGTTAAGCTTGAATTCCCAGCAGTAATCATCTGAAAAGAGAGGAAAACACATGGTTTGTGGGAGGGCCTTCTGTTTGCCAGTTTTCATCAGTTCAGAAGTCAGTGCTGAACTTTCATCCAGTTTTTTGGAAGAGGTGATTAAACGTTTTGCTAATCCTTTTACAGTTGTTTTGTTTGTTTTTGTTTTTCCTAAATGGTCTATTAGTAAATGCCATTCTAGCAGTGTATTGCTCAAGCCAGGTGAAATTGTGTTAGGAAGTTTATCTGAATGAAGTAATTCAGAACATCTCTGAACCTTACATAAAGAGAAGCATCTCTTTTCAGAGACTGTTCAAAATTCATCTGGCTATAATTTGGCCTTTTATCAGATAGCTTGGAGGGTTTTTACTTTCGCTTACCTCTTCAGGGCTTTTTCAGCCCTGTCCGTGGGTAGGACTCCTGACATCCAAGATGTACAGCCACACTACCAGGAGTTCAGTTCTTGGCCTCTCACTACTTCCAGCTCCCAGATGATGTTCCAGGTTTGTTACAGCTGTCATGCAATTATTCTGATTAGGATGCATCTTCATGTTAAAATGGTTGCTTTTTCATCACATAGATTCATTCCACATAAATCTAGTGATTTGAAAACTCATCTCTATGCTGTGTCTATAGTCAACAGAAAAATAGGCAGATCTAGAGAATAAACCATGCTATCTGTTTAAGAAGCCTACCCTAATAGAAGGATTATTCATTCCCTGGAGTTGCCTAATTTACTTCTTTTTTTTTATTAACTATAGGAGAAGCCTAGACACCTGGCTTGAGCTAGATACCTGATTTCCATAGCTAAACTTGGGAGAAATGAGTGATGGTGTTTTAAAAGCATCATCTGCATGGTTGGTTTGTGCAGATTCTACAGCTCTGCCTTGCCTCTCACTCTGAGTCCCCTTAGCTTGGTTCTTACCAGTGAATGAACCCAACTGTTTTATAGGAGGGATTAATTTGAGTGTAGGGGTAGCTTTAGTGTGTATAGTCTGCATGTAAATGGCATCAACTTTTAAATTACTCTTCACTATAAGTGAAGTAAGTATAGTTACTTACCTTAAGTTTACTTTAAGATGGTAAATGTATTTGCATTTTCAATAGAGCATGAAATTAGGCTTATTGAAGTACTTATTTCCATTCAACATCTGCATGTGCTTTTATTTAACAGAAAAGTATGCAAAAACCTATTTGCAAAAAAACATGTTAACTGATGTTGTCAACCCTTTTTTTAGTAATTTATTTTACAGGACAGTCTTTCTTTAAATATAAAGGTTTATAGATTCTGGAGCCAGCAGATAAATGGATGAAGTAATAAAGCTTATGTCTGTGAAACCCTGAGTGATGCTCACCAATCAGTATTACTACATGAAAAATGGAAAAAAACAAACACCACCTCTATCAAATAAACAAAGGAAAAAAAAAACAAACAAAAACCCGAACAACAAAAAATCCCCAAACCAACAACCCAAACCCCATTGCAAGAGCCTTGCTGAAGGAGCTTATATTATTTTTAGTGCTTTTGCATGGTATACCTTTAAACATATTCTTGGTCTGATCACCATATGGTTCCCAAACTCCTTATTTTTCCCTTTAAAATTATTTTAAACTGAGCTATGCTATTACATCTGTGTATGTCTCATTTAGGGTAACTTACATTTTGGCTCTCAACACTGAAAATATTTTCCAGCTCTCAAAGTCCAGTCTAACCTTCTTCCATTTTTAAAGCTCTAAATGAGGAGCTGCACTGCACATGTAACTGAAAGTACTGGAGCTGAACATCTCATAAGGAGAAATTCTTGCCAGATTATATATACCTCATAGTTTAAGCAGGGCTGGCAGCAGTACAAGAGAAGCTGCTTTTTCAGAAAATCAACTCTTCAGGTTTTCAAAAAAAAAACCAACCCACTTGTGTTTGATGATTTCTTCTTGAGTGTTCTAAATTAGGAGGGAAGAGGAATTTAAGGAACCCTCTTTTTTTGCATTATGTCCTATAGGTGCAACAAAAATACACAAACACAAATATTGCTTTTCATGGGCCTGCGCATTTACATGCAGTTTGCCGTGGAAGAGTTATTGACAATGATCTAACTTGGGTTAAAGAATTTCCCTGTAAATTCAAACCTGATTTTGTGCCTTGCTTTTAAATTCCAATTGACCCATTGTCTTTACTGGGACATCCTTCAAATTGGCTAATCTGTGCTAGGAAAATTCATTTTGTGCCAGTAGTGATAGTCACAAAGAGCATGAGGTGGCTGTTCCGCTTGGACAACAGCTGTATTGTTACTTCCATATGCTGCCTGTATCAATTCTGTGATCTTGAATTGCACACAATGTTCTTTTTTGTCTAAAAGCAAGGTGTAGTGACATGAAGTACCCATTAACAGACATCGTTGCTGGGCTGAAGTTAGCTGGGTGGAAGGCTCGGTCTTCGCTTGCTTTTTGCAGTTGGTGGCATTTAATAGCATTGACTTCCCGGTAGAAGGCATAAAGCCCTTCTGTTCAAGGCTGTTTCCCCCTGATTAATTAGGAGAGCCTCTGTTCTATATGGACAATGTAGTGGAAATGTCCTGTATTTCTATTTAGCTCTAGCATCCTAATGCTGCTTTTTTAATTTTTGATGAATATATTCAGAAAAAAAGACACTTTGTACTTTCAACCAGATGTAATAAACTTCAATTTAATAGCTGTTGCTGCAAGGTCAGAACTTAATACTGAGATGTAGGCTAGAGGGGTTAATGCTTTGTTTAATATATTCCTAATGGTATGCAGTTCTTTTTGCACAGAAGTCTAATCACGAGTTTTTAAAGTGACATTAGCTGTAGCTAAATCTTTATCTTTTTGAAACTCTCAACTCATTTAAAACTGTAATACAAGCAAATGCTTACTGTTATAATTACATTATAAATAATACATAAAAATAAGGCTAGCAAATTGCAGAATTACTTTGCTTATGGATAGAATTTCAAACTGAGAAATTTAAGATGTATAGTAAAATACACAAACACCACATATCAATTTTGCTGGAGAGTGCTGGCTACTGTTAAAGTTTCATCCAAAGAGAATATTGTGTGGTGACTTTTAAATTTTTGCATTAATTTGCAAGAAATGCAGCTTGCATATAACTCCCTTTGTTTGTCTTGTACTTTCTGTCTTAGAGGTAGAAGGAAAGGGGAAGAAGTTTATTTACAGTCAGTAAATTTGTTAACTAGTGAAGTGTCACTCCTGTTATTCGTTGATAGATACTTCAGCTTTTTATGTTCGTGAAACACTTAACAAATAAAGTCGTGATAACCACGATGCTCATGTTTAATCTAAACAAATACAAGAAGGTAGCTGTAAAAGCAGTTTAATTATTCAAGGAACTTTGTAAAGTACTGATACACCTTACTTCAAGCGCAACATTTCGCTGATGGAAGGAAATTCTGACCAGTGATGGCAGAGTGCACGTAGCACTGTCCTGTACTCATAGGTAAAGTACTACTGTTCATTCACTAATCACAAATACGGAAATGTTCAGAAAATTGACTTAGCTGCCAGAATCCTAAACATCTCTGTTGAATTGCAAAGTTAGAGCTTTCACAGATAACCTAATGACATTTACATGGCAAAGTAATCTTGTGCAGCTAAAAAGCACTTGGGCAGGGGATGCTTTTTTTTATGTTGTTATTTAAAAATACTGGATATAACCTTTTTGGAGGTGACTATACAGTAAGACTTATCAAGCTCAAGTCACCTTCATTAGTCTGTGGATTCTGTCTTCCAGAGCAGGGCCAACATTTCCCCCCTCACTCCTTCCTGGCTGCCTGACTAGGATTGGCATCACAGCATAGGCAGTGGATTTGTGACTCCACGTCCTTTTCCCATCTCACTTGTCACTGCTGCTGCCTGCGTCTTCCCCATCACCTTGTGCCTCTTTTCAGCGCATCCTCACTGTTCTAGTTACAAAGGCATTTTCCTCATCCAGACAGCTATTAGCTGGAAATTTAATGATAATGATGTCATTTTACCTAAATGCTTTGCACTGTGTTTGTGTAACATATGAAAACAAGTCATGACTAACTCAGGAAATGTTCCCTTCCTCTGCATGTCTGTCCTGTGGCTGTTCCAGGTGAGCCACAACATACAGGGACAGTTGTCATGTTCATGTTTATTGGTAACACTGTAAAGCAAAACGATGATCAGTGGGTGCGTAAGCAGTTCTAAGCATAAAATGTAATAACTACAAACGTATAAACTTTTTGTGCCCATAATATGTAACATGAACTTTTTTATCATAGGAACAGTAATTTATCAATTTTCAGCAGTAGTTTAGTACAGTTTTAGCAGCATGTAAACTACACTGCAGTTAATGTTAAGTTGAAAAGTAAACTTTTTCTGTTCTTTTTCCTTTTTTAAAAAAGCTGTGTACATACAGAATGCAGGAGGCCAGGCTGGATGGGGCATCCTGGTCTACTGGAAGATGTCCCTGCCCATGGCAGGGGGTTGGAATTAGATGAGCTTTAAGGTCCCTTCCAGCCCATACCATTTTGTGATTCTATAAGCTACTCCTGAATGGAAAAAAGGTCACATTATAAAAGGATGGTAATAGAGCAACGTATTTTATATATTCTTTTCATAGGCAAGTATAATTTCTGGCTTATTCACATATCAATGTAATGTCAACTTTTTGCAGTTTTACATCTCAAATGTCTTTTAGTTTAGTGAATGAAAATTATAGTGAGATTAACCAAATAACTTTGTTGTTGTTTGTTTGTTTGTTTTTTACCCAAGGGAGCTACTATTAAAAGGGATGAACAGACTGGTGCAATTGTGGTGGCCAGGATAATGCGTGGGGGAGCTGCAGACAGAAGTGGTAAGGTGTTGCTGCTTGGCACTAGCTATTCATGTTCTAGAAACTGAACAAGATGAACTAAAACAGCATATGTTACAGAAATTAAATGCTATCACAAACAAAAATACCTGGGGTCTGGACAGTTTTCCAAAGTGATATTTGAATACTGGTGAAAGGATTCTAAATTTTTTTTCCCCAATTCAGTTGCAACAAGTTATCTTTCAGTTAGCAGATACAGGGGTATTTTTAAGTATATCATGGTTTGTTTCCACATGAACACATCCACTTAGAAATTATGGTACATTCCAAGATTACTACTTGCTGGTGGATGAACTCAGGATGGTTGCATTACTTTCTATTTGGGCATCCCTTTAGAGTTTTAGCTGGTAATTCTCAAAATACCAGCACATCCTTGACTGCCATTGTTTAGTTTGGGATGCTCAAAGTCTGCAAGAACTCAAGCAAGTAGTCCTGGATTATACTATAAAGTCTTCTTTTCACTGAAGAGACTCTAGGACAGCTGTGTTTCACATTTAGATGGGGTAATGGAGTAAGTCTAGATGTATATATTGCTAAATTAGCAAGCGTTTGTGCTGCACATTAGCACTCACAGCCTCAGTGATCATTGTGGTACTTGCAGCTGTTTAGCAGTGAGAAAGTAGTATGAGTAGAAAAAGAATTGGCACAGACATTTTTCAAACATCTGCATAAAAGCTTGGAAAAGTCATAGAGAACTAATTTCAAGAGGAAGGAAGGGAGGTGAGTAAACCAACCATCTCAAACCTGTGAGGACAGTAGCTGTTGTGCTCACCAGACATTCCTGCTTTTAAATCAGAGCTTAAAGCAGATGAACAAGGGAGAAAAAAGCTGGATGTTAATGGCATTTTTTGTGTAACACATAGCTACACTTTACCAGCTCCTCTTTGTCTTCTGTAGGTCTTATTCACGTTGGTGATGAATTGAGGGAAGTCAATGGGATTCCTGTGGATGATAAAAGACCTGAAGAAATAATACACATTTTGGTAAATACCAGAAGTTTAAAAATTAATATAGGGGAATGAAGAACAAGTAATTACACTTGTTATTTCTGGTGTATTTCTTAGAAAAAAGTATATTCTACAATAATGCCTTTCCTTTCAGTGCCATTATTTACAAACCTCTATTTCCTTTCTCTTAAAGAATTGCTTTCTGCACATTACATATATATGCAATTACAGATTACTTGTAAAGAGTTAATGATGATAATATGGCTATAAATGTGTTGCAGGATGTTGCAGACCTCGGTGTATAATCTACAGTTTTTAAGGCTCACCATGATCTGTTGAATTAAAACTATTTTAAATTTATTCATTAATAAAGCGTTAACTCCATGTGAAAATTAATTCATAATACATATACTTAATAGACTGTATAACTGTTATATTAAGATTATATTTTACATAGATTTGCAGTATGTAGCCATATATATGATTATGTTTGCACTCTTCTGAACTACGCAGTCTCTAAAGCCAACCTAATTACTCACGGAACACTATTGCAAATTAAGTAATTTAGACTTTTTCAGAAATACTTAAATATTTTACTAAGAAACCAATGAGGGTCATGACAGTTCCTTATATTCGTGGTGTAGGAATTTCTAGATACATAAATGCCTTGCTGTCCAGCTGAATTGAGTGGCTGTCTCACAGTTTTGGTTCATTAACCAAGCTGATTAATTTCAAGTTTTAGTCTGCTGATATTCATACTTGCTTTATGGTTTTGTATTCCCTATAGAAACATATTTCCCTGCAAAAATTAATATTTAAAAATCTCTAGAAACACAATAGCACTAGGAAAAGGTGTGAACAATTTCCCCATTTGCCTCCTTGAGGTACAATATAAACATCAAACGCTAGTTTGAGCTTGTTTCAAAAGTAACAGAATTATTGATTCCAGTCCTACGGCTGGTGAAATAAGAACTTGGCTGCTGCTTGTCAAACAGTGAGCTCTTGGATCGCAGACATGCCGGCAGAAGTATGTCTCGCTTGGTAGTGGACGGGCCTGTTTCCATTTTGCTTAAATCGTTGGCTGTCTGTTGCACTCTGCTAGTTTTTATGAAACTTGTCGGCTGCATGCAATAGTAGCAGAGGCTCCAGCTGATTAGCGCTTCCTTCAATAGCAAAATGTCACTGAGGCAGTGGGAATATATTGTGGTTAATAAGTAAAATGCAGCCAGACACATTTTAAGTGGGATATAGGGAAAGATGAATGGATGAGGTGGTTGATGATGGCTAACTTGTTTTAAGATTTATAGCAGAGGGGTTTTTTTCCATTTAGTACACGTAATCTGTTCAAATATGTTTTTCTTTTCTGTTTCTTAAAGTTGCCAAAAGAATAAATCCCCCTCAATAGCTCTGTATGATAAATATGTCACAACCCTGTTTGATTGTTTCTTTTTTTTTTTTTCTTTTTTTTGAAAAATGAAATGTTAGTTGGATTTTTCCAGGGATGTCCAAACTGTGCCAGGATTCCAGCAGTTCCTTCTAATATGCGTACATTTTAGCTGTAGCATTTGCTTCCGCTTTCAGTGCAGGAGTGGGACCTCTGAAACACGCAGGTTTTAACAGTCCATCTCTGCCCATCACTGAAGTAAATAAAATGGAGCATTTGAAGAAAATATTTTAATCTTTGCAATGCAAAATTTGGTATGGTGAAGCTGTGAGACTCCACAGATCTTGCTTGGGAGAGGATAGATTCATTGATTCAAGTATTTTTAAATTAATTTGCATTTATTTTCCTTTTAAGAGTTCTTTGAAATGTACAGCTTTATTCTCAGTGTATTTTCTTTTCAAACATTCACCAGGCTCAGTCTCAAGGAGCAATTACATTTAAAATCATACCTAGTGTGAAGGAAGAAGTGCCAGTGAAGGAAGGCAAGGTAGGCGAGACTATTTCTGAAACTATTGGAGTAACTGTTCTGCTGAGGATATATATTGTTTGCTTGGATACCAGAACCAAGAATGTGATTTAGTCCTCCAGATTTAATTTTCCTAATGTGACAATGTATAGCACACTGTACACTTCAGTATTCATGTGCTGGATTTACAAGTGGGTGTAACATGGTTCTTAAGCCCTAACTCTACCGCTGTAAAGTCAACATAGATAATCTTCTGTCATCTTAGAGGACCATGCTTGCTTCCAAGTACTCCTTCCATCATAAACTTGGTAGAAGACACTTGATAACACCTTGGTTCAAAAGTATCTTCTCTTCTGTTCCCCATATGGGCACACAACTTACCTTTATGGATCCGTTTGCCTCAGATCATGGAGCCTTTACTACACTGGGGTTGTGGTTGCAGAAGCAATGAATTTAAAATTCACATATGAACTTCTATGTTTGATGTCCATCAGGATGTTTCACAGCAGTTAATGTTTATTGCTTCAAATTATTTAATTCAGTGGTTTTGAACAGCATAAGTAAAGTTGGATTACATTTAATATTTTGATTCTAAAGATTAAACACTGTTTGTTTCAGATGTTTATTAGAGCTCTGTTTGACTATGATCCTAATGAGGATAAAGCAATTCCTTGTAAAGAAGCTGGACTTGCTTTCAGAAAAGGAGATATCCTTCAGATCATGAGCCAGGATGATGCAACCTGGTGGCAGGCCAAACACGAAGGCGATGCCAATCCCAGAGCAGGCTTGATCCCTTCAAAGCATTTCCAGGAGAGGTGAGCTACTGAGAAGCATAGTTTCATTATTTTTTGTAGTAAGAGAAGACAATTCTTTGCCGAGTTGTTAAGTTAGCGTAGTTGTCATATGTAATACTCATAGATTACATGGTATGATCAACCTGCATTTGCAACAAGACAGCTGAACTTGGAAACCTGTTGCTGAAATAGTTTGGATTTCCTTATTTGTCTGGCTAGAATTAATAATGACAAAACCTGATAGGATAATGCTGATCCAGATTGAAAGAAAAAACATATGGAAAATAGCACATCAGTATCTGTATTCACAGTGATGCACTGTGCAGGAATAGGAACTGAAGCAGGTTTTGGAAAGCTTACAAGAATTTGAGGCTGAGGATTAAGTTTTTTTAGATTGTCAATAGATTGCATTGATTTAAGTTAATTTCTTATAAAATCTCCTGGATATTTTGCAATAGTCTCGTGATGTTAAGTGTTTATTAATCCCAAACTTGCTGTGAAAACCGAGGAGTTTGTGTCTTTGCCTTACTACCTCCCATTTCATAGGAGATTTGCAGTAAGAAGACCAGAAGTGCAGATTCAGCCACTGAAAATTTCCAACAGAAAGTCATGTAAGTCTGCTAACCTGGAATAGAAATCATACTCCAGATCTCTAACCTTATAAAATAGCAGTTTGTTTCAGCCCTCTGACTACAGGATGCATTTCTCCTGGGCACAATAGTTTCTTGAATACATGTATCAGTAGGAAAGTAAATATAAGAGCTGAAATTAAAAGCAGCTAACAATTTATCCCAACCTTCCAACTTAGTTTTAGAACCACTGAGCTCAATTAGTGTTTTGATATATAATATTTCAAAGGTTGAAGAGTGTTCTTTCCCTGTTGAAATAGTATAGAATTGGCTCAACAGATTTTATAATTTGGACTGCATCAATACAGTGAAATTTATATTGAGAGTGAGATAAAAGTTTGGATACTCTCCCCTTCTCTCCCCTGTATAGTTGGTGATTTTTTGCATCCTACGAAGTAGCACAGAGTTTTGAAAGTCAGGACATTCTGTTCTTTGACAGGCTTTCACAGAACCAGTTTTTATTGTTTTTTAAACAAATTCAGTCTTAACAGTCTCTGCTTTTAAATAATATAGTTGCACAATGGAAGAAAAGCTCTAAGAAAGCGCAATACATTGAAACAAATATTTTCTTTCCACTGGAATTTACATCAACATCTGTTTTAAGTATCATTGCATATTTTACTTGACCTGTTATTTCTTTCAGTTGTACAGACTCATAACAAAGTGAGTACAATGTAAGAAACTATCACGCTTCAGTATGTTCTAAACTTAAATACAAACATGTTTGTGAGTTCAACTAGAAATATTCAAAAGTGATCTAAAATTTCCAGCCATTTTTCATTCCTTAACGTTAAAACAAGAAGTGTGGATACTATGGCGAACAGTGGATGCTGGCACACTAAGTGCAAAACTAAATGCTTTTAACTTTAGAACTTCTCACCAATGTTTCTATTGCAATTTTCCTAACTCCTTGCTATGGCTTTTGTGTTCTGAAGTTCTTCAGTTACTGTTAGTTTTCTAATAATTTGCATTTTCTATCTTTCATGCCATTTCACTATTTGATTGTGTGCCCTAATGCTATTGTTAACTCCAAAGCCCTCGATAAGCTTTGTAATTACAGTAACGGACTATGTGATTGCACTATAGCTTTTCTAATTTACATAGGTCTTAGAAACAAAGAGGAGCTTCTACAGCTTGTAGTAAATCTGTTGTTTTTCTAGGTTCTAGGTCAAGTTGCTCTGCCCCAGTTTTGGAAAAGTGTCTGATCCCAGGGTATAGCTATTTCTCTCTGTCCACTGTTCTTGAATCTGGATAATACCCTCAACAAGAGCCTTCAATTAAGGTGGCACTGATGCTTTTGAAGAGGTAAATCAGCTGCTGCAGCAACACTGCATGATTCTTTTTCTAATAGATTGCATCTTTTTAGTGACCTTCAAGTGAAAGGTTTTACAAGATGCATCTCACCCTTCCAAATAGACAGCCTGGACTTGATTGGGAATTGCCAAAATTGCAATCCAGAGAAGACCCACAGTATGTCTGCTATTGTTGTCTCTGCTGTTTCCACTAACTTTGCCTTAATTGGCTTAAACAAGGGGGAAGAGTTCCTCTCTTCCTCCACTTTCCTTTAAAACATACAGGTCAGGCAGCAGGCCTGTTATCCTTCTTTCAGACTTCGTTTAAACAAAGCAAGGCCCAGCTAAATATCATCTAGAAGGCAGTGGTGCCTCTTGATGGAGGAGAGACTGCAGACTAATGGAGGCTTGTAATTTTTTCTCTTCAACATTTCTTAGGATAATCTGCTGCTATATTTGCCAGATTTCCATGGGAAGAGGGGAAGTGCTGTTCTGAGTAGAGGTCCATCCTATTTTTCAAAGACAAAATGTTTTTAGTGCTGGGAAGGAATTCAGATCCTTCATGGAGGAGGCATTTTAAGGACAGGAATTCAGATGTAGAAAAACTGCTGTGACTAGGATGGTGCTAGAGTTGCTCTCAGGAAAACCTTCCACTTGCTTGGCTTTTCCAGAAGATTCCATGTAAGCTGGGAAACTCCACACCCTTGTGATCTTTCTCAGGTTAGGCAGCTTTTTCGTGTTACCAAGCATGTCAGGAAAGCTGTGGAATGGAAGGCCCTGTCTGTATTTGTTCACAGCAATCACCTTGCCAGAACTGGAGGATGCTGGAAAATCTCGTATTGCTCATCTGAGCAAAAAACATACTGCCAGCATCGGAAACATGTAAGGAAGGTTACAGAGAACAGAAATTTGGGAAGAACTTCTAGGTCTGATTTTTTTTTTTTTTTTTTGTGTAGCCCTTTTCTGTATTGTGGGGTATGGCCCACTGGTTATTGTCCTCTAAAATTTTATTATTTAACAAGTTTCCATGTAAGGAGGTGGGAAATTGGTAATGTTCTGCACATCTTCACGAACTACCTGTATATTGAGAGGTTGCTTGCTGTCACAGTTGATCCCATCCAATCTTACCACCTGAATTTCCTCAGCAGTTTGGAGGGAAAGGGCAATTTGCCAGCTGATATTCTTATAGTTTCCCAAAGATGAAAACCTGTTGACTTCAGCAGAGCTGCTAATAAAAGTCCCTTTCCTGGGAGGACTCAGGACTAAGAGTTGCACTAGGAAGCTTTCTTGGTAAGTAGCTCTGGGTGTCAGCCTGCTCTGCTCAGTTGACTCATTTCACATATCCCACGTTTTGTAGTGAGGAAGAAACCTGGGTGCATGCCTTTGTTTTTAATAGGGAGAATCAAGGAGAAATAGTCTATTTTCTTAGATATCCAGAAAATCTGAGTCAGCTCTGGGTTCTTAAGTGGGCTTTCAGGGTGGTAGTGTCATTCTACTTGAAAGTTAATCTAAAAATCAGTTAAAATCATATTAACATATGAAAAGTATTCTGCAACTTCTTCTTTTTCCTCTCTTCTCAAGCCAGTTCTGGAACTGTGAAGGACTGGTGTAGTCATCTAGAGAAGAGCTCTCTGAAATATGGTCAATAACTGTATTATAGAAACATTATCATCCATCTATGATTTGCTTTGATAATTAAGTATGTTTCAAAACCTACATAGAGCTAGATTGGGTTACTTTGGGGAAGCTATTTCCTATTTTGAATTTTTTAGTCTTTTCAGCATAGCAATGCATGTTATTTAATGTTGTTAATCTGTACATATACTTCTGTATCATAAATTTGGAAGTAAAGTGGGATTTTTTGGTGGCGCTTGTATGCGCATCCATATCAAGGAAAGAGAGTGGAGGTTACTTTCCACAGAACTTTTTTTAGCAAGAATTATTTGCATTGAAAAAAAAAAAAAAACAGCCAGAAACCTAAACCAATCAGTTTATAATAGAAATGTCAATTTCTTAGTTTCAGTTTAATAGCCAAGTCAACTGTTTCATTATGTCTCTGTGTGAAGTTCAAGTAAATAGCTTAGCTTTGTGGAAGATACACGTGCACCGCTCTCCCTGCAGTTAGCCATTTTCTTGAAAGGCAAAATAGAATCATTCTCACATTGCACCAGTCAAAGTGAAAAACCTTTAGTATGTCATGTGTATACTGGAGGAGGAGGCAAACCAGTGTACACTCCTTCCTGAAAGGTAAGTGAAAACACACATTTTCATTTGCAAATGGAGGAGGCACGTAGTTGGTTTCTGGGAGTAAGGTCAAAGGAAATTGGTAGTATAGGTGTAGCCTATGGTGACAAGAGATGGTTTTACATTGAGAGGAAGACACAGAGAAAGTAGGAATAAAAAAAAGGGAAAAACAGGGAAGTGAAATTTTGTATTGAGGGTGAAGAAAAGAAGCAAGTATTGCAACCAGGGCAATGGAAGAGTAGACAGACAAAAGCTGTCCATCAGCCCCATTAGGCAAAATCCCACAAAGAAATTACTAGATTAATGCAATTAACAGCAATAAACAGGAGCATTACTATAGTTTAGTTGTTTCTTGATTCATTTTAAATCAAACACTAATGTATTTGCTTTCACATTCACCATTTAAAAAATTTAACGACTACTAATAGGAACTCTTGACTTCTTTTTGTTTGCACTTATTGGCAGAAAACCTCGATAAATTCAACATTAATATATGATAAGTTTTAAAAGCATGAGATAAGTGGCAGTTAGATGTTCTGACCCGCTGGTAAGATTGATAGTGTTACTTCCCAGGCTCTGGATTAGTGCAGAACTGATGGAGGGATAACAGTCCTCTCAAACATTTTCAACATTTTTCTCAGTAACTAATAGGACTTTTTGGCAAATAGCATTCTGCATTAATACTATGGGAAATTATAATGGGGGAAAAATGCTAAGAAAAAGCAGCATAGAAAAGAAAATAGGAAAACGGAATAAAAGTTAAGGAACAGAGATGCCCCCTCTGTGTGCTGGGATGGTGAATGTGCAGTATACCTGCACCTGGGGTGAGAGGGAGCTCTTTGGGAGGTACAGTACAGGTGTTTCTGGCTGCATGCAATAGGCTTTGGTATGTCTGAGCATGTGAGCCACTGCTGAATGCCAGCTCTGCAGAGACTTGCTCACCTGGTATTCCTGAATAATACTTAACAGCATTCCCGGCTGTAGGTCACTTTAGCTTGGGCACAACTTGTAGCCGTAGTTGGCTCTCTGAGTTCTCCTGTCACTGCATCCTGGCTAACTACAAGAGACATGACACTCAGTACAGGGAAGAATTTATTTGTTCAATAGCTTCCAGTTTGTTAACTTGAATACAGAGACTGCTCATGTTCTGACTGTAGGAGTCATTGCCAACAAACATGATCATTCTTGCATTTGTAGCTTACTTTAATTTGTAAATAAAACAGCGATCACCTGTTTTTTTGAGGGGAAAAAAATATTTCTTTGAATAACAATCAAATGACTTACTGCTCTGCAGATGTTATAAACTACAGTAATCAGCCAAGACATTATATTCCTTCAGCATAATTTTGCTTTCACAGTGATTACTGTGTTTATTCTTATGTTATATATGTGTTGTCTCTGGTATGAAAATTACTGGTAACTTTATATTTTATACTAGCGTAGTCT